TGCCTCCATTACTCTAGCCAGTTTGGCTGATATTTAATCCCTGTAAGGCAAAGGAATTCTGTTTTTTTCAGTGGATCTAGTAAATGTCATCCGAATACATTGCCACATTTGAAAGACTGAAGCAGTTTCCAGCTGCAGTGACAGAGTTCATTGGGTGCCAAGTCTGGGAAGAAATGATGGCTTCTTCTGCCTTTGTCCATATGCCCAGCAAGGATGAATGTACACCAGATAGACCTGTAGTCTCCTTTGGGTGTTGTAAGTGTAGATGTGAGTGTTCTGTGCTTTTGTGTATTTATATAGAGATTATGCTGGGAGACTTTTTAACACAGTCCTGTATGTATGTATGCATAGTATTTATACCATATTGTGCAATTGGAAAAACTCAAAGATATTTGCAACCTGAAAAGACATGACGCAACAGAAGACATGACACAACAGAAAAAGGGAAGGTTGCACAAAAAGAAAAACACAAAAATGCATAATTTCTTAATAGATTGAAGTCTTTGTAATAGCCATCTTTAAGATAGGTGTAATGCAGACATGCTTAATTTTATTACCACAATCACTTAGATTAGAAAAAATCTAAAAAGAGGAAGAACTGAATTGATGAGGTAGTCCTGCTTCTTCTCTTTCCCTCTTCCTCAGTCGGATGGATTGTTAACTAGGTGAATGTTGGAGAGATGCAAAGCTCATTCTAAGGCAGTGGTTCTCAACCTTCCTAATTCCGCGACCCCTTAATACAGTTCCTCATGTTGTGGTGACCCTAACCATAAAATTATTTTCATTGCTACTTCATAACTGTAATATTGCTAATGATATGAATCGTAATGTAAATATCTGATAAGCAGAATGTATTTTCATTCACTGAACCCAATTTGGCAAAAAAAAAAAAACACCCCCCCAATATGCCCAATTTGAATATGGGGTGGGGGATTTATTTTGTCATTTGGGAGGTGTAGTTGCCGGGATTTACAGTCCACCTACAATCAAAGAGCATTCTGAACTCCTCAAATGATAGAATTGAACCAAACTTGGCACACAGAGCTCACATGACCAACAGAAAATACTGGAAGGGTTTGATGGACATTGACCTTGAGTTCTGGAATTGTAGTTCACCTACATCCAAAGAAAATTGTGGAGTCAAACAATGATGGATCTGGATCAAACTTGGCACTAATACTCTATATGCCCAAATGTGAACACTGGTGGAGTTTGGAGAAAAGAGACTTGTCATTTGGGAGTTGTAATTCCTGGGATTTATAGTTCACCTCCAATCAAAGAGTATTCTGAACCCCACCAACGATAGAATTGGGCCAAACTTCCCACACAGAACCCCCATGACCAACAGAAAATACTGTGTTTTCTGATGGTCTTTGGCAATCCCTTTGACACTCCCTCACGACGTCACGACGCCCCCCCCCCCCCCCCCCCCCCCCCCCCCCCCCCCGGTCCCAACCCCCAGGTTGAGAAACACTGTTCTAAGGACAAATGATAGTATCCCAGTGAATATAGGATGGCTTTTTGGACTCCACTGTGTTGCATTTCTGCCCTGTGAAAGTGGCGGGCAGTATAGGTAAATCCTGGAGGACACATTTTCATCCTCTACTTCCCTCTCACCCTGCCCCTGCTCCTGGCACACAGCAATTTGCTGCTCTGTGAGTTATAACCATTCAACAGAACTGGGACTACCAGCTGAAGAAATCTTACCAAATCAACCAAATGAGTTTCAATCAGCATACGCTTTCAAAACAATGGTTTTGAAGTCCACAGCTTACTTCTCATGTTTTTCGATAGTGCATGTGCTTATTGCAACAAGTGCCATTTTAGACCCTTCTGTGGGCAAGCAAAGAGAGAAACGCTCCTTCTCTGGTGATCCGTACCGCCCACAGTTTGAAAAAGGTTTTATGCTGAGTAAACCAGTCAGGGATGCCTGCTGAGTTGATTTATAAGATCTGGTTAACTAACTGGTTAATGAAGGAAAGCTTGCAGCCTTAATTAAAGAACAGAGTCCTCCAAAGGCCATGGAAGGTAGCCTGCCAAACCACCAATCCCTAAGAGCTATAGGCACTGCTTCCTTTATGTCTTGCTTGTGGGCTGGCAACTGAAGGGGAAGCCATTGGTACACTACAGGGAGTCATGCTTGGCCCAATGGCAGCCACTTGTTGATTCCTAAAATAAATGTAAATGATGATCCAACCCTTGAAGAAAGTCATTCTGTACTAAATTGCAGCCTGATAAACATGTAATATGGAAAATGTAGAAAAACACTGGCATTTGCATACTTTGTGTAGTAATTCCCTCTTGAATTAAAGCTGCTGAGCACTGACTAAGAAACAGAACAACTAAGACTAAATTAAAACTACAACGTATAATGTTACTCTTCTGTCCTAAAGGAGGAAGCAATCCTCATTTATTTCAGTGGAAGAGTAAGTCAAGAGGGAGTCTGGGGGACTCTTAAAACAGACTACTGCTGTTTCTTTTTCTTATTAGCTGTTCATCTCCGTCACGGCCCACGGAAATAGTTCTCTGAAGTCCAATTATAATAAATTCATGGATGACTCATACTAACCACATTTGCAATTCTTTTTCTCCCCGCAGAAATCTTGGACAGTCCCAGAACCCTTTATCCTTTCCTCTCATTTTGGCTGGTAATTTTCTCAGAACCTCAGTCTCTCTGCGCTAGGGTTAAGGCATACAATTTTAGGTAGCATTTGTACACCCTCACCTCAATGTTTGGGAAAATGTGACTATCAGCAAAAGTAGGTTTCCCATGTTGGGCTCTTAGTGTGTGGTACATTTGCCCCCTTTCATTACTTGATCTTCTTGTAAATGGATTATAATCCTGGAGGTGTAGCCTTGTTAATTTTAACTTTCTAGAACACTTAGTAAATTTAAGTGCTTTTGCAGCAATTGATATTCATTAGTGAGTTTCCAGTTCTCTTTGCTTAATGGTCCATTTCTCTGGAGAGTGCATCATACAATTCCAAAAGTTTCTGTGTAAAAGTATGTGTATATACTGTATTACGCAGCATAGTGTAAATAGTGGAATTATATTTTTTTAGCATAGCCTCCAAGAAAGGCCACCTTGGTTAGTGGCTGAAACAGGTTCAGCTTTCAAAACAAATAAAGCAAATTACAGTCTACATTGACACATGGAGCTTTGTCTCCCAGTTTGCTTTGACTTTGGCACACATATCCTAGTTTGTATCTGTGAAATGGTAAAGGGTAAATGAGGAGTGTTTTGCCTCTCTACCCACCCCAACTCCCAGTTTAACCTTTCCTTGATATTATTTAGCAAAGAATGCTTCAGGCCAAGATTATTTTAAAAACCACATCTCTGTATATAAACCAATATGAGCACTGCATTCTGCGGAGGAGGCCCTCTTCTCGGTCCCACTCCCATCTCAAGCGTGGCTTGTGGGAACGAGAGAGAGAGGGCCTTCTCTGTGATCGCTCCCCACCTCTGGAACTCCCTCCCTAAAGTATTAAAAATTGCCTTCTCCTCTTATTTAAAAAGCTTTTAAAAACATATTTATGCATTTTAGCTTATGGGGGGGGGAGGACTAAGTATACCTATATGCACCCTTTCCTAATTGCTGAAATCTACTTTTGTTAATCTGCTGTTTGCCATCTTCTCTCCAACATTTAAGTTGGATTTTAAAGAGATTTTTAAAGACATTTTAAAGAATGTTTGCTAGTGTGTTTTATTTTGTTGCAAGTTACCTGGAATTCCTTCAGGGCGATAGGGCAGGCTATAAATAAAATGTTGTTGTTGTTGTTGTTGTTGTTGTTGTTGTTGTTGTTGTTGTTGTTGTAAGATGAAGGCTTTTCTTCCTACCAATGTTTCCTTTAGGTGAACCTTCACCAAGCTCTTTTCTTCACATGTCAGATTACAATTTCTGGAGGAAGCCAGGATGTTAGATATTGAAGTCTAGCATAGCAAGAGGGAGGCAGATTGCAAAAGCCAGGCTTAGGGGAAGACTAGAAATCTGTGGCATGTGCCTCCATGCCTGTCCTCTCCTTTCAGAACCTTTTCATGGCAAGGATTACAAGGGTGAAGAGAATTGGGCTGATGGTGAACAGTTCCAACCCCAGAGCATTTCATCGCAGCATGATGTGTTTCCTGCTTTGCTGCCAAAAGGACACAAGGGGCGATGGTAGCAAGATTGCTGCCAAGGAGAGGAAACAGGAAATGTGTAGTAACAAAGGAATCAAGAGCTCATTGCTTTCCTCCCTCCCCTTCTCTGTTCAGTGATCCTGTGAATTATTTGAGAGTATCCCATGTGTATGTGTGCATTCCAACGTACACCCGTGCTTACAATGCTATTATTATAGAAGTCATTACTCAGTAGGGCAGCACATTTCTTGCGCGAAAATTTTACATACAGTTTCCAGTACCACTCGACAAACTAATGTCAGAAGGCAGGGATCCAAAAGACCATTTTGTTGGAGAGAGATCTTACCAGTGCTGCAACTCTTATATTGACAATGATGTATGATCGGCAGTGCTCATGACAGTTTAATATTCAGCACTGCATGTTACTTTTCGATGGGCAATATAAAGAAATAATTTATAAGCAGCATTGAAGAAAATTGTTCCATCCAAACTTGGACCACAGTGGGAGCAATAAAGCAACTTTTAGCCCTAGGATTGCATTTAGCCCTCATTTTGAGAACTGATTTCTAACTCCTTTGGAAGTATCAGCACTAGATAAAGAGAGAGAGGGGAAGAAAAGGAAGGTGATATCAATAGACAAAGAATTTATAAAACAAAGGGCAGCCCTTGACAGTAATAAAAGTTACCCAACCTTTCAAGAAAGGGAGATGAAGCAAGGGAGTCAAAGGATTTCTTTTTTCAATTATTGTTTCCTTTTGTTTGAAATCAAATCTTCTTTAGCTTTATACTTAGTCATCACTCATGTAATTGATTGTATTTACTGTTCATGGTTGGTGGGTTTTGTAGATATCATTTTCCAATCAACTTTTTTCTTTTCTGTCAGGTGCTGTGCAATGGTCCAGGAACCTGTGTCCCTATATGTGTATCTGCCCTTCTACTCAAGATGCTGGGACTGAAGAAAGTAACGATTGTCTATGTCGAGAGCATCTGTCGGGTGGAAAATCTGTCCCTCTCTGGAAAGATTCTTTATCACTTTTCAGATTACTTCTTTGTGCAGTGGCCTACACTGAAAGAAAAATACCCTAAGGCACTCTATCTTGGGCGGATAGTGTGAGGGAAAAGGACAAAGTCAACTGACAGCAGTACCACATTTAAATGTTTTAGATCTTTGACATTTCTTTCTGACACTTTTTGGTTCATACTTTGGTACAGAAACCAAGCAAAACATGTCAGTAGATTCCTACACAAAGTGTATTATACCACCTGAAGATTATATAGCTGGTAATGTAGGAATTGGAGTTCTGCAGCCAGTTTCCATCAGGCTCTTGCCCGACTTCTGCTGTGTCACTTCGGCTTCCTAAAGTATCTTTTTTTTTTACTTTTCCCTCAATAGAAGCTGGACACAGACTAAAGAAAGTGGAATATGACAGGGGAAGAAGAGCCCTGCTGAGTATGTTATGGCACAGTGAAAAGGCTTTTAATCAGTATAGTGAGCCCGCCATATCCACAGATTCAACCTTCCATAGATTCAACTTTCCACAGCTTGAAAATTTATATAGATTGTATTCAAAAAAGCCAACCTTTTTACTATGCCATTGTATGTTATTGGTCTTCAGCATCCACGGATTTTGGTATCCGCGGCTGGTCCTCGTATCAAATCCCAGTGAAAACTAAGGGCCCAATGTAACGTGGAATCAATCAGAGTGCAATGAAAAGAGCAGTAAAGGTGCAAAATAACAAGTTCCTCCAAGTTTGTTATGCCACATTCACACATAGTTATTTTTTTATTTAGATATTTTAGTTTTCCTTTTTATTTCTTTGTTGTTCTCTCTCTTATTCAGCTGAATAAGATTCAGTTCAAAGAGATTTGGACTTATGCTTAAGGTACCATCTTGGACATGGCAAATTACAGCAAGGGCCTCCTCGTAACCTCAATCTTATTGGTTCACTGTGTCAGTGATGACATTTTTACTGGATTCACTTCGGGCATTATCCCAGACAGTCCCATTTCCACACCTGACCCCCAGTTTTTTAACACTTCTAAAACAGTTTCCTACTGAAGCATCACAGAGCAAATTAAACGATGTAGATAGACTTCCATCTGGAGCGGTGGTTCCCAACCTGTGGTCCGTGGACCACCAGTGCTCCACAAGAACTAATGTATGGTCTGGGGTTTCACCATTACTACACCATTGCAACGAGAGCAGCTGGTCTTGCGAAACCCTCTTATAGTGCTGAGGCTTATTAAAATCATAGAATGATTGAGTTGAAAGAGTCCTTGAGAGCCATCCAGTCCAACCCCCTGCCAAGAAGCAGGAAAATTGCATTCAAAGCACCCCTGAAAGATGGCCATCCAAGATGGCGACTAATAAATGGCATATGTTCTGTATCAGAAACTAGAGCTGATGTGGTCTACCCAATGCAATTTTCTGTATCAGCACCCCAAATAACCAAACCGAATCTAAAATTTACCAAAAACTGATTCGTAACCCTTTTATGTCTCATGTTTAATGGTTAAATGATTTTAATTTATAGTTATATGTTAGTGTTTAGTTATTACTATTTTTCTTTTTACATGTATGTTGGCATCAAATTTTTGCCATTGGTATGTTGTAAACCGTCTTGAGCCCCCCCCCCCCCCCGGGTTGAGAAAGACAGTATATAAATACAGTAAGCAAATAAATAAATAAATAAATAAATAAATTTGGTGCTAACGTTGGAGAGTGGTCCCTGATGAAAGTGGTCCCTGGTCAAGTGGTACCAGGTCAAAAAAAGGTTGGAAACTACTTGTCTGGAGAAAATGGAAAAAACAGAGGGGAACACATGGGATGGGCATGTCAATTTTACCATGCTTCAATGAAGTGGGGTAATGGGCATTCCTATCATTGGTCTCCTACCAGGCATTGACATTTCTCTCCCAAAATCCTGCATTATGAACTTGGCATGGTAATCTTTTAACATTATATTTAACATTCAAAATACTGAAAGTTCAAGATATCACTACTTTGTTTTTCCTATCATTACTCCTCCTTGGCTTTTGAAACTGCACTACTGCAAACTTTTAAACTTGTGTTTCAGACTTCTGCAATTGAGAGGAAAGATTGGGAGGAAAGGATAGGAGTCCAGAAAAGGGGGGGGGAGGTCTGCCTTGAGAGCAATGCCTCCTGTCTCCTCGGGAGTAAGGAGTCTGGCTGGGAAAGGATAGGAGCCCAGAAAACAGGTCTGCCATAAGAATGATGCTTCCTATCTCCTCGGGAGTAAGGAGTTTGGTAGGGAAAGGATACTAGACAAGAGGGGGGAGGGTTGCCTTAATGATGCTGCCTGTCTCCATGGGAGTAAGGAGTTTGTCAGGGAAAAGATAGAGCCCAGATAAGAGGGTTCTGCCCTAAGAATGGTGCCCCCTGTCTCCTCAGGAGTAAGGGTTTTAATAAGGACAGGGTAGGAGCCCAGAGAAGGGGGGTCCGTATCAAGAATAATGCCTCCTATCTCATCAAGAGCTCAGAGAAGACGAGGGGAGGGGGAGAGGTCTGCCTTAAGGACAATATCTCCTGTGTACTTGGGTGTAAAGAGGTTGGCAGGGAAAAGATAGGTGCCCAGAGAAGGGGGATCTGCCTTAAGAATGATACCTCCGTCTCCTCGAGGCATTGGAAGAGAATGGAAGGGAGCCCATGGAGAGAAATGGTGTCTCCCTTAAGAATGATGCCTCCTGTCTCCTCTAAGTGGATGGTTGAGCTGTGAGGAGGCAATCCTGTGTGATGGGGGTACGTAAATTCTCCAAGATGAAACTCTGCAAAGAAGATAGTTTCCATCATTTCTCCTAGTTCTGTCTGATGAAATCAATGGTGATGGCAAGAAAAGGCAGACATAATATGCCACCTCTAAGCCACCTGTTCTCCAATCCCAGCCTCCCTTCATAGCTGCTGCATTTGCAGCATTTTTTCTTATTTCAATTGTCTCTATTGGAATAATGAGACAATAATGGATGCTCTGCGCTGTTAAGTTCCTTTGGAGACAACCAATGGGACTTAGTAGTAGTAGAGTGTTATGACTCTGGAGACTAGTGTTTGACTACAGCTTGGCCGTGGAAACACACTGAGCAAGTCATACTATCTCAGTCTCAGAAAACCCTGTGATAGGTTTGCCTTAGTGTCACCATAAGTTGGAAATGTCTTGAAGGCACACAACAGTAACAACAACACATGGAGAAATTGCACTGAAAGGCTGGTCTTGGTCAGTGGTTATTTTCCCCATCCCTTCTGCCTTCTTAGTGCATGAAGCAAGGAACAAGTAAACTGTATTTACAGGGATGCAAATTCTTTTTGGCTCATTTCCATGCTCCCTTTCTAAAGTTTGACAGTACTGAATGTTGGGGGGTATATAGTCTCCCTTTGTAGTTCACTGTGATGGGTAGCCATAGTGGCTGAGAGAGATGCCTTAGTCATGCCTTAAATTGTAAGAAACAAGGCCGTGGTCTCGGACAACAATGCTTGTTTCCTATATGTGGAAGCAGTGAAATCCCCAGTGAGTATTCTGAGCATAAAGGAAACAGTCGTATTTGCTTGGCTTTGTGACAGTTTTCACTCCACAGCCTTTCCGAAACCTCAAAGCATTAAATCCAGTATCCTTTTTCCTTTTGGCCTGTCAGAGCCGGTTCTGTCATCTGAAGTGCATTTTCCAAAGCCTTGCATTTAATTGTTACAGCAAATAAAAAGGTAACAGATGTCACAAAGAGACAGGTTTTCCAAGTTGAGCGTTCTGTCATTTTAATGGCATTAGATTTCAGAGCGCAAACTGTCATTAGAAAACAGCAAGACTCGTTAGCATGCTTTGCAGCCTCATGTGTAGATACTTAAATGGACATTAACAACACCAAAACAGGAAGAAAGAGTTGGAGAGAAATAAAAACCAAATTCATACTTTCTCAGTGAACCGAGTTCGTCATGTTTAGGTTTCAAGTGTTTAAAAGTCCAAGGCGGTTGTACTTAGAATAGGAAGCATGTTCTTCCTCACCTTAAATGGCATAATATCAAATATTATTACGAAATAAATGTTGCAGTAGACTAAATTTCAGTAAGACTGCCTTAGCCTTCTGAGTTCATGGAGACCAGCATTATTGTGAAAAGTTCTGTATGAAGAAGAGTAAATCTGTATGTCTTCTACATCCAGGGTTACACTGATTAACAATATCTGGCTAGAGCAGTTTTCTCGATCTGGGGGTCAGGACCGCTGAGTGGGTCATGAGGTGGTTTCAGAGGGGTTGCCAAAGACCATCAGAAAACATACTTATGATTGCCTTAGAAACCCCTTTGGCAAGGAAGGCTGAAGATCTCCCCGCCTGTTTTTCCCTTCCTCTCAGCCAAGGAGAGGACAGTTTCTGAGACTTCAAGCAGGGAAGGGAGAGCAGGGAACCTCAGCGCATGGCAGCATAGTGCGCATATGCGGGCAAGGGAGAGCATGCAAGGTGGGAGGGAGGCTCACGCCAGTGCGTCTCTTCAAAGCATGGGGGTTCTATGTGGAAAGTTTGGCTCAATTCTATTGTTGGTTGGGTTCAGAATGCTCTTTGATTGTAGGTGAACTATAAATCCCAGCAACTACAACTCCCAAACATCAAGGTTTGTTTTCCCCAAACATGACCAGTATTCACATTTGGACATATTAAGTATCCGTGCCAAGTTTGGTCCACATCTATCATTGTTTGAGTCCACAGTGCTCTCTGGATGTAGGTGAACTACAACTCCCAAACTCAAGGTCAATACCCACCAGACACATCCAGTATTTTCTGTTGGTAATTGGAGTTCTGTGTGCTAAGTTTGGTTCAATTCCATCATTGGTGGAGTTCAGAATGCTCCTTGATTGTAGGTTAACTATAAATTCCAGCAACTACAACTCCCAAATGACAAAATCAACCCTACCCCACCATCAAATTCACCAATATTCAAATTTGGGCATATTGGGTATTTGTGCCAAATTTGGTCCAGTGAATGAAGATATATCCTGCATATCCGATATTTGCATTACAATTCGTAACAGTAGCAAAATTACAGTTATGTAGTAGCAATGAAAATAATTTTATGGTTGGGGGTCACCACAACATGAACTGTATTAAGGAGTCACGGCATTAGGAAAGTTGAGAAACACTGGGCTAGAGAAACAGAGACCAATGCTTTTTAACTTTCAGTAGTAATTACAAATGTTATAACAATCTGCTTGAGAGGGAAATTGCTGGGAAGAAGAGGTTCACAAAGCCGATTATATCCACAGTTTGCAAATGAAAAGAACTCTGCCTTTTAGAAGAAGAACGCCATGTTGTCACTGAATATTGGTACAAAAGGCGCGGAGTCTGTTCATGAAGTATATTTAATATCTCATGGGATCTGGTTCGTATTTTCTGAACTGCTTGGTTTTCATTTCAGCAGAGAAACTGGAAATCAGTCTAGTTTGTGATGATATCATAAATCACAGAATTTGGCTTGGCACAGACTTCTGAGGTTTTCAGCTTTTACGACATTATAATAGTATGTTTCTGGACTTTGTAGAAAATGGGCAAGACAGCTTTGATATGCAACTCAAAAAGCTGTCCAGGGACCAAT